TATATATATATATATATATATATATATATGTATGTATATTGTAAACATATGTATGTATATCAAGAAAAATCTGATTGAAAATGGACAAATCGGAAGATTCTGATTACACAATCAGAATTCTGATTATCTCAACTATAATTCCAATACATTTAATCAAAAAATTTTAATTCTTTCTTTTTAAATCACAATTCTAATTAATCCAACTAGACATTTTTTTCAGTGTGTGTGTGTGTGTGTGTGTGTGTGTGCGTGGGTGTGTGGGTGTGGATGTGTGTGTGTGTGTAGCCAAGGTTAAATCGTAATTTTTTCAATTTTGAACATTGCAAAATGCTCGCTCGAGAACATTACATATTCGATGCACCGCACCGAATGATATATCACTAGGCAACAAAACAAGCAGCCGCCGCAACGCGACGTTGCTCCAATGGCAACGACCGCGAAGGGTTAACAAACTCCAAAAGCAAAGGTTGCACGAATAAATTAAAAAGTTTCAGGCACGGGGCCAAGTTCAATGCCATAATAATATCAACTATGCGCGTCCCATTTCCTCGTAAACATTCAGCTGCCATCTTTTGCTTCTACCGAGTTGCAATAATTTCTTCTGCAGAAATGCAATAGCAATTTACGGTTACTTCACGATAAACATACAGTGAAATGCTTTGGTGTTGTAAATACCGTTTTAATCCTTTCGATCTTGCAATTCAATTATCATGTCGCAATGATTAAATACTTGTAATTTAAAATGAAATTTCAGTTTCGCCATTACCAACTTTAAAGCGAAATTAAAAAAAAAGATTATTTAACAATAAGTAATAGATAAGTTATAATATTCATATTTTATAAATTAAGAATTTTTAATTTAATTTATTTTTATTTTTCATTATAAAAAAAGTAAAATATTATCAAATTCACTCGAGATTTTTAAATTTTATTCAATTTTAATCAATTTTATTTTAGATATATTTGATTTATTCAGTTAGAGACGAAGAAGTACGCTCGAACGTTGTCGATGTTTTTGCATATACAAGAGCACACGCGACGATTTAAAGTGCCTTCTCGAAATGGAACGTCGTAACTTTCTCGAGGAAACAACGAACGGTGTCATAGAACACTCGAGGTCGTCGAAATCTACCTGAGGAGAGCTGGAGAAACCCTCATGCAAATACGATTTACCTCCAACATGGCTATCGCTAGTCTGCTAGCAGCAAGTGCACCCGCGGGAGAAGGAAAGCGAAGCCGGGTAACGTTCCCGGCAAATGGAATGCAAAATCCTGGACGCCCGTGGGAACTTTGTCGTCCGTGCCATTGGGCGATGAAAGTCTCCGGGGTCGAAACGATTTCCAATCTCTCTTAATGGCGCATTAATCGTAATTCCCCGGACGAAGGGTGGAGAACAAAATGGCCGTTGTCTTAAATGCGATAACTCTGCCGGCTGACAGTTTTCAATTGGCGAACAACGCACTGATAGCTGGCGAAGTTGTTTCCAATACCTGTTATCGATACTTCGTCTTTTATCCATGCGCTTTTTAATTCAAAAGTTTGTGCATCACGAAGTTACGAAGTGAACGAGCGTTCGCCGGGGATTCCTGTACCTCGATCGAGTATGAAATTAAAGATGTTCGCGTTGAGAAATTTGCGCCAACAGAAAGTGAGCTAACTGGTGTTAATTTTCCAGTAATATTCGAGAGATTTAATTAATTATTATATTACAGAAGATGCAAACATGCTGTAAAAATATTAAATTTATATAGTTTCTATTCATATATAAGTACATATGTAGATATACAATTCTAATAAAAACACATCTAAAAAATATAAAGTTTAATTTTATATTTTAAAAGAATAAAAATTTATAAACGTATACAAGTATGTGTATATATTCATAAACAATACAATGTCTATCAAAAATTTGAAAATATTTACTATCTACAGTAAATTTTAAGAACGGAAAAGTCCATTTTTCCTTCTTATGAAAATGAAAAATCAGGTATATTAATTAGAAAAGAAAAAGGAAGGAGAGGAAGGCAGGGCGAACTGTCGTATCATTTCTAACGCAAAATTCATCGATTACAATGAAGATTAATAGATAGAAATTCTGGATTTTCCTGAAAAGAAAATGATGTGATCAATATTAACCCGCCGCGACTTCTTCGCTTCGTTACATCTCGAGATGTTCTTCTACGGATGAAAGGATCAGGTCCTGTCGTTTTCTGATGACTCACTCGGGTGATCTCGATTTTGTTGTCGACGAGAA